CCCCCCCTTCCTCGGTCGAAAAATTCACTATGTTGCTAGATTATTTTCTTTATGTACGTATATTATATGTTGAATCCTCTTGACTTATATTTTGACTATCCTTAGTGAAGATCTTGACTCCACCACCAATAGAGATACATATAAACTGTATATGGAAGCCAAGACTTGCTCAATCTAAGGAAAAATACCAAATGAATGAGGATGACTGTTATAACTCACAATTTACAAACACTAAGGGGTTGTTTGGTAGGAGGTATTAGAAAAAATAATGCAAACATTAGCTTTGTGCATTATTAATTCCTTGTTTGGTACATTTTTTCAATCGGTGTATTACTAAAACTTGTATTAGTTATACAACCTATTTGGTATTATCCTATGTGTAATTAATACATAGCAAACCATGGTATTAGCAATGCAAGGATTTTAATATTTGCATAAGCATGGTAAAAAACACAATTGCCCCTCAAATCTCTCAAAGTGTACAAAGTTAAAGAATGTGGAGGGTATTTTTGTAAGCAACTAAATTTTTAAGAAATTATGCAATGCATTAGTACACCAAACCAAATAGTGGATAAGAAATAATCTCAGCATAGCTAATGCTAGCATAACTAATCCCAGTATTACTAATACCAGCATTGCTAATACACCATGTTCGACACTATTCGTATACCTTCTACCAAACGACCTTTAAAAGTATGGAGAAAATGAAACCTTGTCAACGAAATCGAATTTCTAGTAAGCCAGGGGAATTGATTGGAGTTGGGTAGGGGTGGCAAATGGGCGGGTTGGGCTGAATGTGGGCGGGTCAAGATGGGTTATTGCCCAACCCAGCCTAAAGTGTACTTAGGCTAAGATGGGCTAAACAATGGGTCATAGCCCAACCCGCATTGCTAATACACCATGTTCGACACTATTCTTATACCTCCTACCAAATGACCCTTAAAGGTATGGAGAAAATGAAACCTTGTCAACGAAACCGAATTTCTAGTAAGCCAGGGGAATTGATTGGAGTTGGGTAGGGGTGGCAAATGGGTGGGTTGGGCTGAATTTGGGCGGGTCAAGATGGGTTATGTCAATAAATGGGTCATTGCCCAACCCAGCCCAAAGTGTACTTAAGCTAAGATGGGCTAAACAATGGGTCATAGCCCAACCCGCCCAACTTGACCCATATTTTAGATTCATGTTCATCTTGCATAAAAAACTTTTTACTTTAAAATGTGTAAGTTGAAAAATATTTTGCGAGATGGGGGTAGGGGGGTAGGGGTAGGGTGGGTGGGTGGTGCAAAAAAATACAAAAAATAGAAAATTAAAAATACAAAAAAAAAGTAAAATTTTTTTTTGGATGGGAGGGGGGTGCTAGGGTAGGTGGTGTAGAAAAACAAAAAAAATAGAAAATAGAAAATACAAAAAAGAAGTAAAAAAAATTGAGGGGGTTGGAGGAAGGGGAGGGGTAGGGGTAGGGTGGGTGCAGAAAATTTAATAAATAGAAAATTGAAAATACAAAAAATAAAAAAAATAAAATTGAAGTAAATTTCAAGATAAGTGTTGGGTTGAGATTCCTTTGTTTTGGGTGAGTTTTATGAGTTGTATTTGAGTTGTTTAATGGGTCAGAATGGGCTATAACAAATAATGGGTTAACTTGAGTTCAGCCCAAATAAACCCATGAGCTAAAATGTTGTAGCCCAACCCATTAATCTCTCGGTGGATTGGGCGGGTTGAATGAGTTTGGGCTCAAATTGTCACCCATAGAATTGGGACTGTGTACCAAGGACATGGTTGGCTCTAGTACTATATGCATCGCAGCAAGGACAATCATACTAATTGTTTTTTAAACTAAATTTTGAACTTGCCAAATGAACAAAGAACATTGTATTGCCAAATTGTAACGACCCGATCAGTCGTTATGAGAATTTTAGCTCGTTTTTCCCAATTTTGGCCGTTCGATGTGTTATTCAGCTGTGTTGAGTTGTATCGAGTTGGTAGGTTTGGCTTCAGAGTAGTTTTGGAGTGAAATGAACACTTAGTCTCTTAGTTAGAAAAGTCAACCGGAAGTTGACTTATGAGTAAACGAATTCAGATTTGGATTTTTATGACCCGATTAGCTTCGTTGGGTGATTTTAGACATAAGTGTGTGTCCGGAATGTAATTTGGAGGTTTATGGTAAAATTAGGCTTAAATTGGCAAAAGTTGGAAGTTTAGAAGTTCTTAGGCTTGAATCCGAAGTTGATTTGGTGTTTTGGTGTTGTTTTGGGTGTTCCGGAGGTTCGACTAAGTTCGGATAGTGATATATGACTTGTTGGAATTATTGGTTGAGGTCCTGAGGGCCTCGGATGAGTTTCAGATAGGTTTGGGTTGTGTTGCGCTCATTTTTCTTATGTTTCGACGTCGTTTCTTCAAGCATAAATGATATCATATTGAACGAATGAGCTCCGATTTCTTTTTTGATTGAAGCATTAGATCCGTATCGTAATTACGAACCCATAGCTAAAATAATCATCGAATTTGGACATCGTATGAGGATTTTATGATCATTTTACTAAGAATTGGGCTGCCAGATTTTTTTAGATTAATTACGGAATTGCCACTGACGTCGTAATTAAAAATCGGCACTATTTGCAAATATTGAAACCAACATATCTCCTTAATTATAAGGTCAAATTGAGTGATTCAAAAGCCTAACTTGACTAGAATTTCACAAGAAATCCATTGGAGGCATAAAAAGAGAGTTTCGAGATCGTTTGGCATGAGAAACGAGGCAGAATAGCTGGTAGAAAAATATATCAAATAAGAGTTTGTTCATTCGGTCATATTTTGAGTTGGGGAGCTCGAATTTGGGCGATTTTGGAGGCGATTTTCACCATATGGATTGGGGTAAGTGTTCTCTACTCGATTTTGGTTATATTTCATGAATCCATTTTCGTTTTTGGGATTTGATTAATGATTTCAAAGTGAAATTGAGGGAGTTAAGGCTTGAGTTTTGGAGAGTTTTAAGTGAGGATTTGAAGGACCAAACGGAGTCCGATTTTGACGTTTATATAGTTAAACTCGGGAGAGGACGAAGATTATTATTCTGCAATTTTTGACTGATTTCGAGACGTGAGTCCGCGGGCCGGGTTTTGGCCGATTTCGGATTTTTGGCATATTTTGTAGTTTTTTATTGTGGAATTCGATTCTTTAGCATATGTTGATGGTATTAATTTTTTTATGGTTAGATTCAGAGCTTTTGGAGACCGAGTCTAGAGACGAGGGCATCCCGGAGTAAGATTTTATGCGGTTGAGGTAAGTAACAGTTTTAACTCTAGCTTTGAGGGTATAAATCCGGAGAAATTGATATCATGTGATTGTTTGGTGGTAATACACATGCTAGGTGATGGGCGTCTGGGTGTGCACCACGAGGGATTGAGACTTGGTCCGTCCTGTGAGCCTGTGAGGCCTAATGGCTATTATCTATGGTTATTTGTTTACTTATTGTTGAACTTATTTACCTTCATGTTAGAGATCATGTTTAGGCTTTATTCATGCTCACATTATTTGTACTCAGTCATAAAAATTATTGTAGATGTTTACCTCAGTCTCTATTATTTGCTAATATGCTGTGATACTTGATGTGGGCTGTGTTCCCTTATTTGTTGATGATGGTGAGGCTAGTGAGGTACATGACTGAGTGAGGCCGAGAGCCTGGTTGTGAGGATATTAATACCATAGCACGTGAGCTGTCCGCGTAGCATGTGAGCTGACAGTGCGGGTTCAGGTATTGATACCATAGCACGTGAGCTGTCCGCGTAGCACGTGAGCTGACCGTGCGGATCCAGGTATTGGTATTATGACACGTGAGTTGTCCGTGCTTAGAGCGTGGGCTTTGAGAGCCCCTACGGAGTTTATACACACCCCCAGTGAGCACAGAGTGTTGAGTTTCTTGAGTGTGTTGAGTGCTGAGTGCGAGTGATGAGTGATGGAGTGACACTGCTGTGAGGTTGTATTTATTTGTGCTGTTGCTGCATTTATATGTTAAATTTCTTTGTGACATTTACTAAGTTATGAAATTTACCTGTTTATTTCTGTTTGTTTTTAAATTGTGAAAATAAATAATTGGACTGTTTTACTTAGCTCGTCATTACTACTCAGTTCCTTAGTTATTTCTGTTACTACTGAGTCAGTTGTACTCATACTACACCCTGCACTTTATGTGCAGATGCAGGTGAGTTAGAGCACGACGATCGTTGAGTTAAGGCCGGCTATCTTTGGAGACGGCAAGGTAGCTGCTAGCGTCCGCATGACCTTGTTACTCCTTTTGTTATTTCTTCTTTGGACTGTATTGACAGTTAGATAGTTATATTTCTTAGTTCATAGTTTTAGACACTCATGACTTAGTGACACCCCGATGTTTGGGGCTCGTTTCTGTATTTTATATTAATTATATTTAGAGTTGATTTAGTTTATGAGAAATTCAAATGTTGAAATGTTTTATTAATTTCTTATAGAGAAAATGCATAAAGACCCCATTCAACTTGTCCTGGAAAGTCATTTACAAACCTAATCTTTACGGGTGTCCTAACACCCCACTATTGTTTAAAGAATTGTATTTATTTACTCCCTCCTAAGGCCTGGTCAGCCGCGCGTCTTAGACAACCGAATTGAGCGCGTCCTTACTCTTTTAATCGTTGAAAACACCAAAAAAAAAGAAATAAATAAATTTTTAACGTTAATATAATCCCAACCAACGGTAAAATCCCTTCTTCCCCGATATTTTACCAAACCCAATTGAAGAACCTTAATTTCTTCTTCTTCTAATTTCTACAGAAAATCCCTCAAATTGCCCTTTGAAGTTTCAATCTTTGAAGGCAAAGGTTAATCTTTCTCCTTCCTAAGAACCCTAATTTCTTTCTTTTATTATTGTTATGCCTTTGTCCTAAAATCTAATTATCCGATCTTTGAAAGCGAATGCAAATTATCTGACTTTGATATTGTCTTTTTGTGTTGTAGTTGTTGCAATGCCTTCAAAAGGCTTGAATTTGACAAGGCTTTGCACGGAAAAGGAAGAAAATGAGTCAAGTGGAGAAATTAGATGCAACCATGGCTATGTGCTGCCTTTGTTAATAGCTTGGACCCCTCGAAACCCAGGAAGAAGATATTGGGTTTGTCCATACTATGGGGTAAATAATAGTAAAAATGCTTTCACTAATTGAGTTGTGAAAAATTATCATTCATTAATTTTCTTTTGTTATTCATCTTAGGGTCCACGATCTTGTGATTTTTGGGTTTGGAAGGATTCCGAAATTGATCCTAGGTCCAAATTTGTTATTCCAAAATTGCTTGACAAAATGGGTGAACTTGAGAATGCATTAGAAGGCTTTGAAAATCTTTCCAAGCCGAGGACAACTTTAAAGGTTGAAAACACCATAGAAGAGGACAAGATGAAGAAGATTGAGGCTCAATTGGTGAAATTGCAAGATGATATGGAGAAGATGAAAGAGAAAGAAAAGAAGTGAAAGAGTAAATTAGCTAAGTCAAAGGCTAGGGAAAATGTACTTTGGTTCATTATATTGAGGATGTGTATTATTCTTGTTGCTTGTGGGTATCCAGGAATCTCATTGAAAGAAGATGCAATGAGGTTGCCATTGTGAATCTAGTTTTGTCATCTCAATATGAATGTAGTTGTTGCTTGTAGGTTTTATTTTGTATGTTTACAATGGACCTTTCATTTAAATGTAAGCCTTTTGTAGTTTTGTCATCTCAATATTTTGTAGTATTCTCATCTCAATATGTATATGTAGTTGTTGCTTATCAATTGTTGTTTCTAAAGAAGCGTTATTTTTATATTGGGAAGTAAACTGCATACTACATAAACTTCAGAAATTGGCAATCAACAATAGACACACAACAGTACTAAGTTTTCTTGTCACCAACCAAAGTATTTCATTTCATGGCAAACACACATAGTATCAACCTATACAACTCATAGATCACCAAAACATCATATATGCATTTGTTGCATAAAAGTCACAAAATGAGTTAACAAAACAGCTGTTTGTTGTCATTGTAGCAGCAGCAAAACAGACCCCAAATCTAACAATACAGAATAGCAGCAGCGAAATGCAGTCTATAGCTACCTAAAAATCCTTATCAAAATACAGAATTGCAGTCTATAGCTGCTTAAAATTTTAGCATAATGCAGTCTATAGCTACCTAAAAATCCTTATCAAAATACAGAATTGCAGTCTATAGCTGCTTAAAATTTTAGCATAATGCAGTCTATAGCTACCTAAAAATCCTTATCAAAATACAGAATTGCAGTCTATAGCTGCTTAAAATTTTAGCATAATGCAGTCTATTGCAATATAGTCATCAACAAAATCATAGCTTCATCAACTGGGTTGATTTGCAGTGGTGCTTTCCTGGCTCAACTTAACAGCCCTAGACCTTGTTTGAATGAGTTTCTTGCCTCTCAATTATTGAAGCTGCCTTGATGTCATAGCTTCTTTACCTTTCCATTTAACACCTCATGTTGGTTGATGGCCTAGATCTCCAGTTACTTCTGCCGAGGACCTCACATTCTTAAAGTTTGTAGATGACATTCCAGGCTGCCAAAACCCAATAGAAAATCAGACAAATGAAATCACCTAAATATGAGAGTTTGTGTTAGACTTACATTTTTTGAATTTTGAAGCCACTTTGAGTGTGTAAAACTCCCATCCCAACCATCCTTGGTTTCTTATATTGTGTTCTTACATCAGTGCTAGTACCAACATCCTACATCAAACAATCAAAAGTAAAAATCTGGTAATTATTTAAAAAAGAGAAAAAAGACATTAAAGGGAAGAACTTCACCTTTTCTTTAGAACCTTTTGGCCTACCCCTTTCTCTTCCAGTACTTTGCTTTGGTGGCTTTGAACTACCAACACTTGTAGGCACCAAACTTGCTGAAGTTGCAGCAGTATTACTTCCAGCAGCCTTTGCACAACCCCTTTTGTTATGACCCTTGTTATGACAATTGCTACATGTCATTTCCACTCCACTTTTGGACAATTTTCCTGTCTTATTTTCACCAGGCTCTTTTCTTCTAACTTTCTTTGGCCTTCCAGGCATCTTCTTTTCATGAGGTGGTATAACAGTTGGATTTTGTGACTCTGGCCACATATTCATACCCAAGACAGGATGAAAAAAGTAATTGTATGTTTTCATGTAAGTGGCATTACTGTACCAGTGAAAAATATAGTTCATAGGCTCCAGATTTTTATAATGCAGGGCAGCAACTACATGAGCACATGGTATGCCTTTTAACATCCAAACTACGCAGGTGCATGTTTGCCTGTTGATGTCCACCAAATGCTTCACTTCACTTGCACCTGATCATTGCTTCACTTTACATCCATGTTCACCAGTCCAGAAAATGTTACATTTCATTGACCTTTCTGTGTTCTCTTCCAAGACTTTCATGGCCATTGGTGAAAAATCAGTAATCCAAGTGTTTCCAAACTGTCTGAGATGACCTATTTTGTTCATCATCTTCACCCTTATTTCTTCAAGCATTGTCACTATAGTCTTCTGCCTTGCTGCCAAAATCCAAGCATTGAAACATTCTGCCATATTATTGTCAATACTATCAGACTTGCAGAATGTGTTGAAATACACCTTACTCCATCTTTCAATGTTGTAGTACAACAGTTCATCAACTATCTTAGTCCCCAATTTCTTCATGTCATCCAGATTTTTCTTCAACTCCCACTCATAGGTAGACCTTGCACACCTCCAGAAGCAGTTCCTTCTCTCTATGCCCCTCCATTTCTTAGACCAGTTAGCTAGGATGTGCCTTGCACACATCCTATGCTTAGAATTTGGAAGCAGGTCTGCTATAGCATTCTCAAGCCCCTGGAAAATGAACAATGGTAGTTAGTTTTAAGTGAAATAGCAATAGAAAAATAACAATAAACTACAAGTGATTACCTTTTGCATGTCTGTTATTATGGTCAGACTTGTACCATCTCCAAACTGAAGATAACTCTTTAAAAGGTTGACAAACCACCTCCAAGTGTGCATATTTTCAATCTCAACAACAACCCAAGGAAGTGGAAGCATCTGATTATTTTCATCTTTGCAAACTGCTACAAGTAGTTGGCCTCTATATACCCCTTTTAAAAAACATCCGTCCAATCCAATGCATGGCATACAACTAGCTAAGTATGACTTCTTCATTACATCAAAACAAATGTAGAACCCAACAAACATTTTCTTCCCACCTTCAAAAGTTTCTTCACTAAGTTTCACTACACATATACTCCCTGTATTAGATCTAAGCAACTCATCCCTATAATCTAAAATCCTGCCATACTCCAGTTTATGATCACCCATTATCTCATTCAACACAATATTTTTTGCCCTCCTACAAACTGTCCTCCCAACATATAATCCCAATTTATTTCTAATGAACTCTTGAAACTTGAATATTCTATTGTTAGGTTGTTCTTTTATCATCTCATTGAACCTTTTAGCCAAGAACTTTGAATTATATAGCTTGTTTCTGTTAGTAGGGTCACATTTGTGAACTGGATTGTAGTTCTTGACTACAAAATCCTTAGTCCTAGAATCATAACTAGCAACTAGAAGCCAAGGACAGGATGCCTTCTTGCACTTTACCCTCACCTATGTAGGTTCATTTACATACTTTTCTATAGAAACCTTTTATTGAACAACATATTTAGTTACAGATTCTTTGAAATCTCTCACACTTGCAAATGCAAGTCCAGTTTCCCAAACTATTTTCTTGCAAGTCTTGTCAAAGATTACTCTTCTTTTAGTCTTTCTTTTTATAGCTTTAACTTTCTCTTGAACCTCCCCTTTACCTTCATCATCAACATCATCTGGATCTGTCTCAAAACTAGCAGCTTCATCTGATAGGTAATAAGGCTCATCACCACCTATCTTACCTTCTAAACTCTTCTTCTTCCTAGATTCATATTCATCATACCCCACATCTGGCCCTCTCTTACCTAGTTTAACATGTTCTTGTTCAGGAGCACTTTCTTTCCTCTTCCTCATCTCTACGGTCCTTCTTTCTGCCCTAAATGCCATGTATTCCTCATGTGTATCACTGCCATAATCAGCTTCTCCTTCTTCAAACAACTCCTCATGCTCTGAATCTGAGCTATTATCAGTGTTGCTACTAGATTCAGATGAGGAGTTTGAACTATCATCAGTAGTAACAGCTGTAGGCACACTATTATTGGCACTATTTTCAGCAGTATTGGATGCTTTTTCAGAAGTTCCCAAACCCTCACAGCCCCCTAAATCTTGACCAGATTCCTTCTCAAAAGTAACATTACTATCACCCACAACTTGGTTGACATATTCTAATAGAGGGGGGGGGGGGGGGGACCACTACAACTTCTTCAACCATGTGATCTACATACCTCCAAAATATCCCCACTTTTTAACTCTTCACAAATATCCATAAGGTCCCTATCAACCTTAATTACTACCAAACTAGAACAATTAGGTGGTCTAACATAAATAACAGTAGAAGAACTATTGTAACCAAACTCTTTTACATAATCTAAAAACTCAAAATATGAGAACATATCAACATCGACATCAACACAATCAGTAATCATCCCATCAACATAATCCTCCACTGAAAAGGAATGTAACTTATCCATGGAGATTTTTCCACCATGAAAAAACCTTAGTGTAACAAGTACAAAAGACATTGAAATACCTAAATATAGTAGAGAATAAACTAATTAAGGATTAATAGTTACTATTAGACTCTTACATAAGAAGTCAGAATACATGCAACAAGAAAAAACTGAAAATTGGTTATTATTACACCTTAAAAATTGTATTTCCGTTCCTCGATTTTACATTGAAAACATTACAGTGAAGAAATTTGAAGCAAGTTCAAAGCCCTAGATACGGATAATATTAAACAAACTAAAACAGAGATAACATTTAGGGTTGATGATAGAAAAGGCTAGGGTTGATGTATTTACCTCCAAACTAAAACAAAGATAACATTTGAACTTGATTCTTCAGAGACCTTCAACTTCGAACGGGTCTTCAACCATCTCGTCAAATGAAACAATTAAAAACAAACGGAACCACAATGAACAACAAAATCGAAGGATTTTGCAACAGGTCCCTTCGATTTTGATCAGGCAAATTGATTTTGGTGAGGCTAATCGAATCTTTGAAGGTGCGGCAATAGGATTCTTCAATTTGGGAATTTTTCACTAAGGGGGTTAATTGGTGAATGAGAGTCTTTGTAATCTGTTATATTTATTTACGGAAGGATTTAATTACGTGGCTTCATAATAAAAGCGCGTGTTTTCCACTGAAGTTATTATAGTTGGGTCAGGCCTTAGGAGGGAGTAAATAAATATAATTCTTTAAACAATAGTGGGGTGTTAGGACACCCATAAAATTTAGGTGTGCAAATGACTTTCCAGGACAAGTAGAATGGGGCCTTTATGCATTTTCTCATTTCTTATAATCGGTTTAGTAATAATATTTAGGAAAATGGACTTGCCCTGTAACACGATAGACGCCATCACGACATGATTAGATTTTGGGTGGTGACACAAATGAATTTGACTCTTGAAATTTTTATTGCTGTACTGGTAATTTCACCTTCTTCTAATTCATTCACCATATTGTTGTCGCTTTCCTTTTCGAGATCATTAATGATATATGTGAGAGATCGGTCCTTTTTACAAAATATTCTCTTAGTCAAGATACTTACCTTTTCCAAAATAAGCTTCAACCTTCCAAAACGTCTTTCCCCTCTCGATAGCCTCCAATCATCCACAATTACAATGGTATGTCCTACCATTCCATACCTTTATTCTACAAATTGAGCTTTGACCCAAATGATCTTATATTTATGTTAAAAAAATATATACATAATTATTCAAAACTCAGTAAGCTACCTTTTCTAAAATCTAAAACCCGTAAACTCAATATCTCCATCTCTGACATTGAGGATCCATGAATCAGTTTTGAGGATATGCATAGCTAAGTGAAGTTTACAGAAAAAGGACACTTTTTTCATTCACAACTTATAAAGTTAAAACCGTATCTTTTGACTAACCAAACTTATTGTTTTTCCTCTTTTTTTTACTGTTTAAAGTAAGGGAAAACCCAAGCCTTTTAGGTACGTCGTATTAAATCCTAATACTATCTCCACACATATGTACGCCAACCTCGTATATATTCTCTACTACTTCAGTTAACTTTACCAGTTTAATTTTCCTAGTGAACCCAAATCTGTTTGGTCTTGACACGTGCAGTGGAATGTGGGATACCCCTTGATGACATGGCAACAGTGTCCACGTGTGAATGTTCATGGTACTTAGCTGACATGAAAAATATTTCTTGATTACGATAGGAAAAAAGAGGTCATGGGTCGTATTCGGGAAAAAGCAAAACGGGGTTTGGTCACAAAATCCCGTTTTTTGTTTCCTCGGATTGGACTCTCTTTTTGTTCCTCATATCTTCCCTTAGATCTTCTTTTTTTTTTCTCTCTTTTTAAAATCTTACACTAAGCAATAATTCTCGTATTTTACACAATTTTATGAAGAGTTTATAGGTTATTACAAAGAATATAGAAAAGTTTTACGCATAATCTTAAAAAAAATATTGAATATACAGGGCATATAGAAGTGTTAGAATTTGTAGCTTATGAATTTTAGACCATAATATTTTTGCTTATAGGATTCTAAATAGATTATTTATATGTATTAAATAAATTTTTTAACATAAATATATGTTTTGAGCCAAAACTACTAAATTCTATCAAACTTGTAGCTAACGGTAGCTCCGCCCAAAAAAACATCGGTAACTATCCCAAATATATAGATTTACAGTAATTCTAAATACAACAAGACAACTCAAGAGATGTAAAAAGGCCACAACAAATTAGGAGAGTTTAAACAAGGAAATTTTACCTCCTATAGCGAAGGTTGATACTTTATTTATTATATTGATGCTTCTTCAACAACCGTCTTCATTTAACCGGCGGCGACGCCCCAAATGGTGGCGACCTGGATATCGGTGGATTAGGGACGGAGTTTGGGGTTGAGGAACTTAAAGATTCTGTTACCTTTTTTTCCATTGTATTCCAATGTATCTTGTTGTATTCCATGTATTTCATTGTATTCACTGTCTTTTTTTAAAATTGTATTTCAATATATCTTGTTATATTCCATGTATTTTATTGTATTCATCGTCTCACTGTTACCACGAATGTTCATATATTTTTTTAATTAATGTAATTTATGTATTCAGATGTCCTCCGCTAATGCATGTCTATGAATTAATCCAATCTCTGAATAATACGGAAATCTCTAGATTGTCCCTCGCTAATGCATGTCTATGATCTCCAATTTGAAATCTTATCGCGTTAAAAGTACTCTCCGATGCTACTGATGATGCTTGAATAACCAGGATATCTCAGGCCATTATTGAAAGTGTTGGAAAAGACTTGCCACGCTCCCTCCACCATGCCAAAAGTTGTTCGTTGCCTTCCTCGTCTTTGATACTTTCCAATCCTTGATTAAGATAAGAATCAAGTTCATCATCAATAGAGGAATCAAAACCTGTTATATCATCCATATCTTCCCATAAAACTTTTGCTCAAGACTTAGAAGTAGAAGGAGCAGTTTCACAACCTGTTATTTTCATAGATTTATATTTATTAAACATTAATCTAGTATAAGAATATATGCTAGCTTGACAATCTCCGAGAGATGGTTATTCATTTTCTTGAACTGCTAAATTCTCATAAATTTTACGAACAAGTCCCGTTGCACCTCTTAGTTATAAAGATGAGTTAAGTAGAGTAGAAATTAAATAAACTTGGGGAATAGGAAAAAATACTTTTTAAATTTTGGAATCATTCCATTAATGGTCGGTGCATAAGTTGGATTTGTTTTATACTTACCAAATACAACAAAAATTCCACAAATATATATTTGTGAAACAGTAGGATAATATATACTAGAAAATTATTTTGTATCATAATAAAATTTTTCTAAAAATTTAGTAAGCTCTTTGATCCCATCCCAATCAGAATCAATAATTTGATTAGCGGGGATACTATTATGCATATTAAATACCTTTTGGATAGACACCCAATTATCATAAGCAACTTTAAGCATTTCATAAGTAGAATTCCACCTAGTACAAACATCTTTTGGAACTTTTCTAAATGGAAAGTTAGCACTAGCATATTGTTGAGCAAATTCACGAATTTTACTCGCTTTATTAGCACGAAAATATAGTCGCAAGCAGTTGTATTTTACTACAAATATCAGAAAATAAATTAAGACCATTTTTTACAACCAAGTTAAAAATATGGCATGCACATCTAACATGAAGAATTGCTGGATTAATTGGACAAAGTCTAGTTTTTAAGCTAGTTGTTGCGGTTGTGTTAGCAGAAGTATTATCTAAGGTGATAGTTAAAACTTTATCAATGAGTCCATAAAAATCAAGTATTTGTAGAACAATAGTTGCAATATATGCTCCAGTGTGTTTTGAATCAACAAATTTATAACAAAAAATATGTTTTTGAATGTTCCAATGATGATCAACCCAATGATATGTAACAGTTAAATAATCACAACCATTAGGACTACGACCTATATCAGATGTGATAGACACTTTACAATCTAAGTGAAAAAATACACAACGAATATACTGAAGATATTCGGTTTGAAATTTAAAAATATCATTTCTAACAGTGGTCTTAGGAAAACCTTGAAAAGCAGGGTTATAAATTTCTTGTATATAATGCACAAAAGCTGGGTGAGAAAGAAAAGTAAAAGGGAATTCACAGACAACCACCATTTTTGCTAAGTTCTCACGATCTCTATCTTTGTTATAAGGGTGTAAAATAGTATCAGAAGCATGGTCAAGTTGTTGTTGTACAAAATTAGAACCCCCGCCAGATCCACTAGGAGTGTCAGTACCGGTGCTAGGATTTGTGATCCTTAAGTAAGTGTCTGGTTAAACCCCCCGTCCCACCACTTTTTGTGTGTGCAAATTGTTGCTTACATTTTTCACATATATCACGATGAGTGACTTTATCACGTTTAAAAATTTCCATACCAGTGATGTTTTTGGACGTTTAGCCTTAGGCTTACCCCTTACATGGGGTAAAGCTCCAGACCGAGATTGACTCTGAGTTGGAGCTTGTGTTGCGGGACTAGTAGGTGTTTCATCTAATTCTTCCTCCTCATTTTCTTCGTCCTCAAAAAAATATCATTGTCAAATTGTCTTTGTAAAGTTTCATGATCTAGTTGTTCTCCGACATTAATATTATAACATGCGGGGGGTTGGAAAATGAAGTTCATCAATATGAGTCATTTTATCTATATGTTTTCTAATTATAGGAGAAGGGTTAGGATTAAGACTAGGATTAGGATTACTAATTCTTTCACCTTTACTATTTTTTTACTACTTTGTTTAAACATACTAAATATATTTTTAGGTGTCATAATTTAAATATGAAATTAAATTAAAAAATTTAACACAAAAACACACAAATGAAATACGAAAATAGAACACGTAAAGTGAACACAAAAATTAAGCACTAAAATGATACACAAAAATTATATATTAAAATTAGGAGATGGAACAAGTGCACCGTGATTAAATATTGAAACATGAAGAAATTGCCCAAAATATTGCTCCAAATACTTGACGAATTAATTTGAAGCTTGAAAGTTACTCCAAAAATTTGCCCAAATACTTGAAAGCTATCACTTGATAGTTGATAGTAAGAAAATTGAGAGAATAATATAGGTATAATGTAAGAGATTTGAGGAGGAAGATTAATTTTTTGTGGGAAAAAATAAAGAAGGATANGGGGAGGACATTTTCAACCGTTTTTGGCCTTTGGGAATGGCTATTTTTGCAATTGAAACCGTTGCCCAACGGGTAAAATTCAAAAAAGAAAAAATTACACGGGACAGGCGGGACGGGACAGGAAGCGACGGGACAAAATGGGACGGGGCAAACAGAACAAAATGTCCATCCCTTCCCATCCCGTATCCCGTTTAACATTGGCCCATCCCGTTTAAAATGAAGTGGGCCGGGCCGGGCCGGGACGCGGGATGGGATCAGGATGTCTCGTCCCGTTGGACAGCCATAGAATAGCGTAGTAGACCCTTGTATTTGTTTCAATTTGTCATTCCGATCCCTGTACTCCATAAAGTTTCATCTAGACACTTATAGTTGTTAAAATGCACTATTTTAAACCCATCTGACCGTTAACCTAGCTTATGTGGCATATATAAGGCTAAAGTGCTTGGCACACACGCGCCACAAAAGGCGTGAATACAAGGATGATTCGACAGAAAATGAATAAAATAAGAGAAAAATAATTTTTTTAAGGTAAAAAAAGTAAAACACAAAAAGGTAAAGAGCAACGAAGAACCCAGTTTTCTGTTGCTGCAATAGCTTCTTCCTTTCATCATAATTAAAGATAGACAATCATCAGAATTTCATTCGGCAAAATCCTTAGAATAATAATAAGTTCTCAACAGGAACTTCGTCCAAATATTCATCGAGAAGAATAGGAATTTCATCGGAACCTATCAAAAACTCATCGTTGAAATCTTTGAACCATCAATTGCAAAGAACATAGCAGAAAAGTTTGAACCATCACCGGCGATGGAGACCACCACAATTCTTTCTTCCACATCACCTTGCTGTAATAGAAAATTAAAAAAAAATCCTAGCAGTACAAGTCAAATCATGCAAGAACGCCAAAAGGCGCGCAGATACAAAGAACACAAACGAGGAAAAAATTCACGGGGTGACCGAACCTGAATGGCGTGTGGGGTGCACAAATCAATTGCTTGGTTTGTGAAAATTATTGGGTTTTGAAGTGATTGCTATTTCCTCTTCCACTTTCAAAATTGTGGTGGATATTCACAAATCTGATAGTATCTCTCCTGTGGTTGTTCGGTAGTCAGGTTTTAATGATTGCAGTGGAATTGGAGGGAGAAGAAGGTGAAAATGTTGCCTTTTTTAATATTAGCGTGATTGAGCAACACCCGGTCAAAGGGGTTTAGAATAGTGTGTTTTGACAATTGTAACCGTCTAGATGACAAACAGCTACAACTATAAGGGTCTGCTACGCTATTCTGCCAATTTTAAATAGCAGTAGCTACTTCTTATTTGTGCATTTCTACTTGACTTACGATCTCTAGCAAATTCGTAATTTATTGAATAATAGTACTGGACTAAAAGGAGTTACATATTTCATTAGAATTGGATTTAATTATGAGAAATTTCATTTTGTTTACAACTCCAACAGATTGTTAACCTAAAGGGGTGATGTTATTGTATTTTTTTGTTGACATGAGCGATTTTGATTTTGATGATTAATAAAGGAACACATGCATGAACTAGGTCCGTGGACAATGTACACATATGACGGACAGAATCAAGCAAAAGGCATGCACGTGAAAGAGATATGTATAAGTAGCTATTTCTGATAATCGCTGAACGAAAATATTGCATATTTGATAAGGAGCATGACTCCTTACTTGAAGAGAACTCTATCCAAGATAAGGGAATAGTTAGAAGTTGAAGCTTACTAGAACTCTTCCACCAAGAAAGAGTAAAGCATTAGAACTCTAGTTAATCCTTATTCTACTAACTCTATAAATATCAGTTTTATTTTCTTTTACAGATGACACACACATATAGAAGTAAAAACACGAATTGAGAATAGCAAGGCATTTTGTGAGCAATTCCTGTGAGATTCAAGAGTGTGATCCTGAAGCTACACGAACCAGATTGAAGAACCAGTTCCATAAAGAGTTTTATGTGTCTTTCTTTATTTCTAGTTCAAAGTGCAGTAGGCGTTTTGAGTTGTACCTTTCAGCTTTCTTAGAAGCAAACTATACTAGGTATCTGAGTTGTATTATTCAAGTTAGAGTTAACTTGAAGTAGTCGCAACAGCCTGTGGCGTGTTGCTACAAGGGTTAGAGTTAATCCTTAGGTTTGCAAGAGGTTGTAAACTCCAGTTGTATTGTTCAAGTTAGAGTTAACTTGAAGCCGTCGCAACAGCTTGTGGCTGGTTACTATAAGGGTTAGAGGTAATCCTTAGACTTGTAAGAGTTTGTAAACTTTTTTGTTGGCTCAGAGTTGTAGTAAAGTGTTTGGAAAAAATCCTACTGGGTAATAGATCGTAGTTTTTTCACCTTTTGAGTCGGGTGTTTTTCACATAAAAATCCTTATGTTCTTTACTTTTTGTATTTATTATTCCGCAACTGTAGCGTTGCTCCCAAACGCACACACAAGTATACGTGGTCGACAAGTAATATAGGATTGTAAGTCCAGATATCGTACCCACAAGAACTTATGGTTAATTATCAACTAAATTAAACCAAACAGTTAATATATTCAAGCGAATCCTAAAGTATGAATATTTTACTAAAATTAATCTTGAGTAACAAATTAAGAGATTAAAGAAAACAACGACAAACTTAAAGACGAATTCAATGGGAGAGAATATTCTAGAGCTATGGGTTAGATAACGATCCCGTTGAGTTTTCTACCTAAGTTGTCTCATTAATTTATCTAGTTTATTGATTGACGGGGTTAATATTGCTTGTAGACTTCTCCCGAAGTATAACTCGCATATTGGATTTATTCCATGCTCCTACTCCTACAAAATACAAAAACAACACTACAATGATAACACACAAAAAAATAAACAAAAAAAGTAAAAAAAAATGAAAAAGTAAAAAATAAATAAAAATTGGGTTGCCTCCCAACAAGCGCCTGATTTAATGTCGTGGCACGACGCCATCACTTTCACCACTTTTCCTTTCACTTTGAGGATATGAATTGCGCTCCAATTTTGCATCAATTTTTCTATCACGTTCCTGGGGCGGTGGTGTGAATACAAAAGAACCAAGTAAACAATGTTGCATCTTGCACTTCTTGGCTTTTAAGTGAGAGATGTCATTTTGTCTTCTTGACATCACAAATTTCAGAATATAAGCACTTTGTTCCCCATCCATTGACTCCTCCATATGCTCGAATGGATCAATTCTCATCTCACCAACCAAACACTACATTGAAAATGGTTAGAATGAGGTCCAATGCGGTCCAACTTTAGAATCACTTCACTTTTGACATCCTCACCTTTGCACATTTTGTCAACCTAACAATTATTAAAAATATTTTGATCGAATAGTTGGAATTCCTCTTTTTGCTCCATAAGTTGACCAATATCTACAACAATTAGTTGTAGGGCATCAGACGCCTCAACCTTTTTATTCAACTGAGCCTCCAAGTCATGGATATTAGAGCCAAATTAGTCTATCTCTTGCCTGAGCTCAATTCTTCCTCCTATCAGTTGTTCTGTCATATTTGAAAGACCATCACGAAGAAACTCATGAGATTTTATTAGTTGATCTTGTTCTCTGGCCAAGATTGGCTTACTGTATCTGCTTCTTCAAAGTTATTTTCTTGTGGAAACTCGCTCTCTTTGGCTATTTCTCCCTCCCCCGTCCCCCCGGCCTTCATTCTCATGATTGTTGCACTAATTCTTTGTATAACCTTTTGATTTTCACCGTATTGCTCGGCTACTTGCCTTATCATCATGTCATGTTGCTCGGCTACTTGCCTCATCATGTCCAATATACGAGCCACGCTTTCCATATCTTCCACTTTCTTGCTCCTATCAAACTCATAAATATTATTAGAAACATATAATAAGAATAACCAATATTCCACCAATTCTTGTTCCAAGATGCCATAAATATTATAAGATTGGTATTCACAATTTTTCCACAAATGTGGTCCTTCACAATATGAACATGGATCACCAAAATAAGAATAACCAATATTCCACCAATTCTTGTTCCAAGATGCCATGTCAATAAAAAAAGAAGTCAAACTAAGATAAAATAAAATAAAATAAAAACTTGAGTAGACAAAAAGTAAAAATCTAATCTAGTAGATTAGTTAATTTCTAAGTCCCCGGCAACGGCGCCAAAAACTTGTTGCTCCCAAACGCACACACAAGTATATGTGGTCGACAAGTAATATATGATTGTAAGTCCAGATATCATACCCACAGGGACTTATGATTAACTATCAACTAAATTTAACCAAAAGTTAATCTATTCAAGTGAATCCTAAAGTATGAATATTTTACTAAAATTAATCTAGAGCAACAAATTAAGAGATTAAAGAAAACCAATAAGCTTAAAGACGAATTCAGTGGGAGAGAATATTCTAGAGTTATGAGTTAGATAAAAATTCCGTTGACTTTTCTACCTAAATTGTCTAATTAATTTATCTAGTTTATTGATTGACGGGGTTAATATTGCTCGAAGCCTTCTCCCGAAGTACAACTCGCCTATTCAAGCTATTCTAACGCCTATATTCCTATGGAATTAGGATTAACAAGAACACATATGTAATTCCCGTATAATAACCAAACAAGGCGATTAGGTATATTCCTATCTTAACCGTAAATCCGTTCCCGATACTCGATTTCAATATCTTGCTCTACTCAATTTTATATGCAATCTAGAATTCCCTCTCCCGAGTTCAATCCCAGATTCGCAGATAGTATTCAATTGGTGATCAAGCAATCAAATGATTAAGCGCAAGATTGAATAAACAAACCAATATGATAAAATAATAAGAACAATTCAAGCTTCAAACTACAACGTTCATGTAGTACCCAAAACTCTAGAACTAATAAATTATGAAACTAAAAGAAGAGAAGAGAACAAAAACTAGTTAGAATCCTCCTCCAAGCGTGGTGTGTTCTCCTTAGGTCAAAAGTATGTCTCCTTCCCCTTAAAAGCACGTTTTCTTGATGTATTTATAGAGGCTAGGGTTTGTTGGGACGAATGGGGCTTCTCCTAATTCAAATAGGAGAAGTTGAAATTTTCTGCTTCGGTCCTGGTCTCGCGAAGTGACCCTCGCTTCGTTGTCCGGGACTTTTTTGGCTTCTTGTGCTCTGGTCCCGGTCTCGCGAAGTGACCCTCGCCTCGCTATCCGGGACCTTGTCACCAAATTTATACTTTCTCCAAATTCTTCCTTGTTTTACTTCACTTTGCATGAAAACTTTCCAAATCACTTCCAATTGACCCCTACACATATAAATAAAATCATTAAGCTCAAGTCACAAATATTCACACACAAATTAATAAAATCGAGGTAAAATGCAAGGTATAGCAAAAATATGGATTTTTAGTCAAACATCCAGTAGTTTAAGTAACACATAGAAAAATCGGGTCCTTCGATAATCTAGTGCACTTGAAAATCGGACATCACGCAAATCACTCCCTCTTGTATGGTACTTGATAAGTAGGGTTTTTGACTGCTTATTTGCTCTCTTTTACTTGCATTTTAGCTCAAAATTGCTCAAAGGTATTCCCGAGAACTAATGAAATGTGCTTTCGTGCAGGACTATTGGGAAATGAGCCAAAGAAATCAAAATCAATTCATAAAGGAGACAAAAGTGGACAAGGACCAAAACAAGGCAAAAAGGCCCACAGTGCGGACCACATAATACTTTGTGCGGCCGCCAAACAAGGAAAGAGCCATGTCAGTTTTTCTTCAGATTATGCGGACGACACAAATACTGTGCGGCCGCAGAAGAGGAGATTCAGAGAATTTGTTTTGGGCAAGCTAAAAATATGCTAACCCACCATAATTGTGCAGCCGTAGGATAGCAAGTGCGACCGCACTCACAATTATGCGGTCTGCAGAAGAGAAGAATCAAAGAGCTGAGTTCAAGTCTAAAATCAAGGAATGCGGGTCGAACTAAAATTGTGCGGCCGCGAAGCAAGAGTGCGGTCCGCACAAGAAAGAGTGCGGCTGCAACCCAGAATTGTGCGGCCGCAAAGATAGAACCTGTCAATCCAAGCCTATTTGTGCGGACAACACACATTATTGTGCGGCCGCACAACCTCCACACGGGCATTTTTGTCAGATATTTTCAGCCTAGTTTAAATAGAACTTTTTGTCATTTTTAGGTTAATTTTTAGTTTTAGGGAGAGCACCTGAGCCGTTTTCTTTACCGTTTTGAGTAATTTTGTACTAGATTAACTTCTAAACATTATATATTTTTTCCCTAATCAATTATTATGCATTCTA